TTATTGTACTCACTTACAGCAGGGGCACAAGGGTCTTTTCCCTTCTTATTTCTGCCGCCCTATATAATACAATAAAAGCTGGCACCGCCAGCACTGTTCCATTGCCAATCTCTTCTCTTCTCTTCTCCCTTCTCTCTTCTTCTTCTCTTCTCTTCTCTTTCTCTTATTTCTGGCCGGCCACACTGTCAAGAGCCCCTTTAATCTTTTTGATAACTTCCCCCTTCTTAAATTCTCCCAACAAATTTATATAAAAAAAACGAAATCTCCCAATAGGTGTCCCTCTTCAACTAAAGTTCTCTCATCCCTTTTCCATGAAGTTCCTTTTTTGCCCCCAACCTCCCTTGATCCTCATCTCTATCCTCTGCATGATTGTCCAAATCCCCGACTCTTCGACTCCCATCATCTTCCTCCTCCAGCCTCCTAATCTTTTGCCCTATCGGCTCCTAGAGATGAAATTTTTCCCCATAAAATCGGGGGCCCACTCGGATATTAATTGCTAAAATATCCCTGAATTTCCCCCAAATTCCTAAGACCACTAGGATCCCATAATCATCCATGCCTTATCCCAACCATATAGAGTTGGCTACATGAATCCTGTTTTGCCAATCCATTTATCCACTATTAAATCATCATTTCTTACTACTACCCCTGAGTTCTTCTATGCACTAGGATCCCATAATCCAATTTCTAAAATACCCCCATATTCTCATAATCCTATTCTAAAATACCCCAAATCTCCATCCCCGATGAGGAGGAGTGCCCTGCCTCGAACCCATGCCACCACTAGAAACGGGGCAGGGATGGGGTAGGGAATTTTGGCTATGGGGCAGGGACAAGGAGGGATGTTGGGTGCCATGCTTCAAACCCACCTCGTTGCCATTTCTATTAGTACATTAAACTTCTGAATTCAATCTATCAAAACCACCGAATCCTCCTCTAACCAATAAAACAAGATACAACCTTTTTTTGAAGAGTAAAGGTAAAATTTTATTAAAAATAAAAAAGATACATCAGGGAGGTGATAAGACATCACCAAGAGAAGAAAATCAGTCTCAAAGTCCCTTTGAGAGCCCAAAACCCACATAACTTGTTGACAAAAAGGAAACCCAATCAACTCCAAGCTAAGAAACAAGGCAAAGACCCCAAACCAATCCCTAGTAAAACATAGCCCATCAGCAAAACAGGAAACATAAACCCCCCCTTGCCACAGCCATGACTTCAGTCTTCCTCTGTGACCAAGTCATCCTGGATTGAAACGACCTCATCCCATATCTTGTCTCTTTTTGGTCGGGCATTTTTGTTTAATTTCTCTTCCTTTCTTCTCCTTTCAAACTCCTCAAAATCCCTTCTAGGAAACTCCTCACCACCCCAAAATAACAGACCTAAGATTTTCCCAACTGAAACCTCTCTATCCACTATTTTTTGGAGGCCCCCCAGCACTACTGTTATCATTTGGCAGCATCTGTCTCTCCACAGACTTGGAATCACCACCACTCGATCTGTTTTCCTGCTGCTCCTTCGGCATCAGGGAGGTTGATGACTGAAATTGCCCGATGTCCCCCTATGATCAATACCATACGTCCCGTTGTCTCTCGTTCATTTCCTCCTATAAACCCATTTGAACTGTTTTGTAGGCACTGCTCCTGTCAGGCTGAGTTTTAGCCTAGAGAAAATCTGTCACATGCACAATACTATGATTTCTTGAACTGTGGGGTTTATTTCTGATTATTTCATTGATCTGTTCACCCTCCTCAGATTTGCTCCTTCCCAAGTCGACGCCCAGGCTTCTGATCTTCACCTCCTCAAAGTACAAAACATCCTCAGAATAGCGACCGACTTGGTTTCCTTAGTAGACACTAAGATTACTTGGGAGCCGATCTTTTCTGAAGATGTCTCAATCTTCGAGTACAGAACATCCTCAGAATAGTGACCGACTTGGTTTCCTTAGTAGACACTAAGATTACTTGGGAGCCAATCTTTTCTGAAGATGTCTCAATCTTCGAGTACTTGACTCACAAATCACCAGAATGAACAAACCTAGTAATCACCCACTCCTAAATCTCTTCCTTCCTTTTTCCTTTAACGGACTGGGGGTACCAATTTTTAAATTTTGTCACCTTTTTCATCCTCAGATGCATAGTTGTGCCAACCCTCACCTGTCATCCACCCTTGGGGTGAAAACGATTCGCTTATGATCGAGTGTGATGAACCTTGAGAATCAGCCCACAGGCAGCTCTGTATAAAATCCCTCTTCGAGCCAATGTTTTCTAAAAGAATGGACGGAGAAGACAATGGACAGAAATTACCATCCTCTAATGGCCTACTTAAAAAGCTAGGTTCTTGTCTTGCCTGGCCACTTAAAGCCTCGCGTGACCTCCTCTTGCTTGGTCCATCAACCCCACTTCTCGAACTGCCCCCATTAGCAAGTTCCATCTTCCCAGCTTGAGATCTGGTAACCTAACTTTAGCATATTCACGTTCCAAGACTTCGCCTCCTCCTTGCTGCTCAAAATAAAAAGAAAGAAACCAGCATTTAGCTTTCTCGCCTGAATATTTTCTTTCAAATTCCACTCCAATCTGACCCATCTCAAAACCTCCACTTCGTCAGGTTCAGAGTTGACAAAATGATCAATCAGGCATTTCTTTAACCATCTCACCCTCTCAAGAGCACCTTCACTTGAATCCACAAAGCTATGTAGGTTAACCCAAAGCAAAGATAGGAACTAATTTGAAATCAGCAAACTTGTTAACAGAGGTACTCAGAATTTTAGATAGGTCAAAGGGTGAAACTCTTCTTCATTCTATTTAACCATTATCAAAAAATTGTCTACTAAGTGCTAACTATTTCATAGAGAGACATATATGTCCATTGCCTCTGCTGCTAATGAATTCAGTAAGTGTCTACTTTCTTTATTATAGAAACACAGAAACAATAGACATGCTACTCTATTTATTTCCTTTTTCATAGGAGAAAGTTTTTCTTGATAAATAATAGGAGAAAGTTTTTTAATAAGAACTTGTTAGGAGATATTATTACCTTCCTCAATAAGACCTTTCAGAGCCCACAGGTCACCCATGATTGGTCCACCACCTCCTAACAAAGTTGAAATAACAACTTAGTATCAGATAAAGATAAAGACAACTGGATGCTAGTAAGTTGCAATTTCAATCTTGAGGTAAATTTCAACCCTGCAGAATTCAGAAATTTTGTGCCAAATTTTATGCTAAATTTTGAAACAGCATGAGAGAGAGAGAGAGAGAGAGAGAGAGAGACTTCTGAATAGAGGCATTTGGTCAGTATAAGAAAGTGGGTTGAACCTACAATAGGATTTTTTAGATTCCAGAAACTTTCTAAAAGAGAGTTACATTGTCCTTACAAAACTATCTGAAAATGCAAGAATTTAAAATCTAAGTACAAGATGGGTGGTAAGCCCACTACAAGTGAATTGGAAATATATATATATATATATATATACTTTCTCTACTCAGTTAAGCATAAAAAAAATGATATTCTTTTTTATGTTGTTCTAATGTTCTTTTGTTTCTCATATTTTATTGACAACCAAATGAAATTTCTACTTGGAATGCTATAACATGTAATATGGGCATGCTTAGTAATTAAAAACTAAAATACCATAAAGATAACCACACCACATATAGTAACAAGCCTAACAAGTAACAAAGTTCTCATTTCAGTTACTTTAAATCCACTAATTTCAGCCACTTTTTTATCAGTAACAAATTGAGATTTTATTAAATATGATAGATTAATAATATACCAGTTTCAGCCACATCATGATGCAAGTTCTTTTTTTCCCAGTATTTTCAAAATATTGACATATGGAATATATCCTGAACTTTATGATGTAAATTCTGTGAATTGCTTTTATAGATATTTTGCAACCACCTTAAATAGGAAGTTTTGTGGCAAACATCAGAAATATCAAGACTAATATGGTAATGACGTGATCCTATGAATTCCTTATAAAGATATTTTAGAACCTTCTTAAATGGAAATTTCATGGGAAGTATCAGAAAACTTAGGGCTGTCAACGGGTCAGGTCTGGGTCAGAACGAGCTGGAACCGGAACCGACCCAACATGAAATGTCGAGGAACCAGACCCGGTAGAGTCTGTAATTTTTGGACCCGGAACCGAACCGACCGGTTCTCGAGACAATCGGGTCTGACCCAACAGACCCAATTATAATAAATAAAAAATAAATATTTATGTTTAATATATATTAAATATGTATAGTATATTATACATATGTATAGTATATTTGTATAATTTATTTATTTATTTAATATATTATACATTATATATATACTGGGCCGGGTCTGAATTGGCCCGGTGCTATGTGGAACCAGTTCCGAACCGATAGTAATCGGGACCCTATATCAGGACCCAGAACCAACCCCTCGGCTCCAGTTCCCGAAACCAGAACTGGTCCAATTGGTTCGGGTCTGTCAGGTTGGACCCAACCCATTGACAGGCCTAAGAAAACTCCAAGTAAAAAAATGTAAACTATGGCAACAGACAATAACTACTTAAGTTCCAAAAGCATCAAAATATTGATGGCCAACATTTTGAAGTGATTAAATAGAAAGAAAAATCAGAATGAATAACTGTGATAAGGATGACGATCTTAACAATAGAAATAAAGGAACAAGCACCAATAGATCAAAGGAAGAAGCAAAAATAACAAATACTTCCAAATAAGGCATGCATTAGAGACATCAAGCACAAGCACTCTTCCCCAATTTGATGTTTGTCCATTTGAAATGCATGCCTACTTTGGTGATGTAATGCATTCTTAATAGTGAAATTTTATCATCAAAAACAGGGAAAAAAAAAACTTGACATAAAAACATTAATATTGAATCTAAGCAACCATATTACAACCCTTATATTGCAAAAGCAGAAAGAAATCCAGAAACAAGGAATTAATGTAATAGGTAATGCGCATCCGAAAGTAGCTAGCAAAATAATCAATTATCAAAAGGAAATAGGATGATGAAAAACAGAGCTCACCTCTGCCGCCAAAGACAAGCAATCGTTTCTCAACCATAGTTGCTGTATGACCACATCGAGGTGGTGGCAGTGATCCAGAAACTGACCATTCCATCCATTCAAGTGATACTGTTGCAAAACACATCATGCAACAAATAGATTAAACCTGTGTTGGAAATTTAATATATCACCACACAAATATGAAACTGAAAATCAGGAAGAACACCAGAATCACAGGAAAAAGAAGTTACTTGTGTCCAAGACATACACATCTGACAACCACTTTTTACCATCCCATCCACCATACCTGCACTCTTTATTAAATGTCTAGTTAAGACTACATCACAGGAAAATATCCATTTCCAGAATGGATTTAGTATTGTTGGATGAATACCCACATAACAATTTTACGGTTTCCAATGGCTGAAGCAGCAGCAAAGTCTCGTGGTGAAGGCAAGTCACCAAAACCAGTAAGCTCCGTCCATTGCCAGATATCTGAATCAAACACATCCCTAATTGCTCCCAGACACTCAAAAAAAAAAAAGAGTGCACAGAATAATGGTAACTGTACGTTTCCTTTTCCTTTTCTTTTTTCTTTTTATTTTGTGTGTCCAAAATGTGACAAGAAATGAAAAATGGCAGTAAGTTCTATCAAATTTCATATTTATACAGAGAAAATAGTACATGATAAATATCCAGCTATGACAAACATAGGATTTGATCATGCAAGGCATCCAGACATTACTAAATTTCAAATTTTATGCTGGCCTACAGAATGTCATATTGTAAGCAACCCTTTTACCTTCTTAGCATCCATTAACAGTACATTTTTTAACAACTGATATAAAAGGTAATTACCCAATGCTTTTTTATTTTTTATTTTTTTGATCAGCAGCCATTACCTTGGTCCCAGCTATTTGGGGTCTTTGGAGGGGTGGACTGGATATGGTCCTAACCTTTGGCATCTTTTGGCATGAAGTGGTTGCTCTCAGACTCAAACTTGCGCTCTCATGCTTGACAGCCCAAGACTTTACCATCACACCAAGTAATGGCTCCTAAATAACACCCAATATGACATTTCAAAATTATCTCAGTATGATTTTGAGGCTATGTGAATCAAGAATCTGCACCACCTATCAAATAGTGCAGATAATAGGACAGATGGATTACTAGGATCCGGATGCCTGGCATGTCAGATTCAATGTGTATGCACTCTTAAATGAAATGCATAAACAAATTCTTACCGGTATCAAGGACCCAAAAATCGCCCAACCTGGAGATCCAGTTTCATCCATCAATAGATGGATAACACGATTCATTAAATAATGCAAAGTCACATTGATATAAACAAACCTTTTTCCACTAGAACGCCCACCAAAAATGAACATATGGCAGTCAATGGCAACGGCAACATGAAAGGCCCGTGGGCTTGGACCCACTACCTGTTCATCAGATCCATTCCCAGTGCACTCTGGCTGGAACCATAATTTGTTATCTGAAGCATAAAACAAATTCAACCAGAGTTAGATCCAAAGCTGCCAAATAGAATTCAAATATATGCATACATAGAATACAGGTTAGGCTACTATATTCCATTGGAAGTATGCACCATTGGGTGAGTTAATTGATTCTATTATGCACATTTGGTTGTCTATATTTTTATGAATTACTAATGCAGCATTAAGATACCTGCATACATACACTACATGACGGGCCACCATATTCTGTCAGAAGTACATGCCACCCTTGCAAGCCATTTGATAAGTTAATTTGTTCTATTACACACATCAAGTCACATATTTTTTTGTATGCGTTAGCACATTACAAATGAATGGACTAAGAATGCCTTTATGGCATGGTTGTATCTTCAAGGAACATCATAGGATAACTGTGAGAGATTATCACCATCACTCAAAGAGGGGTGATTCTTCAGGTTTGGGTAAACCAATTTTTTCTCATAATTGAAGTGCATCAAGGTGGTTTGTTTGTGCAGTAATTTACTCTTAGATGACTAACGTCATGCATATCCTTGATTGCAGGTGTGGTATTCCACATCCAAATACTTGTATATGTGTACATTGAACTAGATCACCATGAGCCTACTCATTTGTAAGACAAAATTCAAAAACAAACACCAGAAACCACTCAAAGCTTTACTCTGTTACATTCCCAAGTAACCCTTAATCCGAGGTTCCTGATAGTTATATGGGCGAATGGGTTGCTACCTTCGATCAAAAGTTATATTCATACTATATTTAGGTCAATTAGGCAATGAAGAGGTTTTCAAGTTAAAGTTCAAATAGGCACTAGCAAAGGGGGAAAACAACAGAATTTTCAGTATCTTGACTCGAGGTACAAGTACAATTCTTCAGGTCGAGTTCTACAACGTACAGGTATCAGCATATATGAACAAAACCAAAAGAATGCAATTACATTCAAGAACTCCTAATTCCGAGTATCCAAGAGTAAGGAACGAATTTAGAGTGAAATTGGAGGCAATAAATTGAAAGAAGAAAAAAAGTACCAGTGTCGTAGACCGTGAGATCGCTGATAAATCTCTTGTCGACGAGGCCACCAAACACGACGACCTTCGATTTCCCGACGTTGACTGCAGTGTGGCCACTGAGAATCAAAAGAAAATTTAAGGTTTGAATCTATAATTTCACAGGAAACAAAAGCACACATTAAAGAAAAGGGAGGAATGGAAAGAAATGGTTGCCTTCGAGGCTGGGGGAGAGTTCCACCAAAATCAGAAGACTCGGCTCGAACCCAATAATGCATGTTTGGCGTTGCCTCTTCTCTGAGTCCGGTGAACTCGTCTGTGTATCAGACCGTGACTGGATAGTGGATATCGGTTTGCCATCATACGCGTGCCTTTTATGCACAGTTTGTGTTCGAATAGATGGATCTTACGTGTGGGTTGACGGTAAATTTTGACCGTTAGTTAAATGGGCTCGATTAAAGCCCGGGCCTCCACCCTCCGGACTCCAGAGCAATCATGGACAGCTCGTAACCGTGTGATTCTGGGACCATCTTTTCATTCTACGGTTCTCAGCGATAGCGTCGTTTTAACATTAAGGGGCCCGTTTGGCGGTTTGGGAGGGAAGATTTGAAGGCTCAGTTAAACTGGTTCAACTGCTTTGAAGAATTGAAGCCCTCCAGATAAACTATTCAAAGAAGCTGAACCGGACGGACAGTCTTTGAAGTGATTAATGAATGACTAACGGCAGCTGCTTTGGGTTCTTCAGATTTTTCACCAAATATAACTTATAAGCTGTTTATGTGGCGCCCATTTGAATTAAAATGTATTCAGCTTTGATTGAGCTGCATTGAACATTAGGCTGCGTTTGGTTGGAGTGCAATATTTTATTTGTATTAGCACAGGTACATAAGAGTGCAAATGAAAAAAAATGCAAGTTCTGGTTTAACTTTGTTTTGTATTTTACTTTATTTGTAATCAAATAAAATAAGCTAAAATTTGAAAAAAAAAATCAAGTAAAACTTATACTCAAATCATTTGCACTGCCATAATTTTGCATTAATACAAACAAATTTATTTGCATTGCAACCAAACACAGCCTTAGCTTCACCATAAAATCTATCTATTAGCTGAATTAAAATGTATTTGTTCTTTCCAGGTTTTTCACCAAGCATAGCTTCTAAACTTTCCATGTGCATGTGGTACAAACAGTTTCTGGCTTTGTAAAGTGAGCCCAGCATGCTTATATTTGATGAAAAATTTCAAAAAGCCCAAATATTAGCAAAAATTTGGCAGGCTCTTTTAGTAACTTCTTCAAATTAAGGGTGCACTTTGGGTGGATTCAAATTGAGAATTTATCAAAATCTGAATGACCCTCGGCTTGACAACATCCACCCCTATTTTCAAATGGCTCAATAAAAGCAGCTCAATCAATGCATCAGCCTTGGATTTTAAAAATGATTCGGATTCGGTTATCAGGTCGAATGGTCCGATCGTTCGAATCGAACGGTCCGACCATTTTGACAAAAAATTTATAAAATAAAAAACGGTCAAAATGATTCGAACGATTAACTGGTAAGATCAGTGGTTTGCTGATCAAAATCAATGGTTTTAAGCAAATTTCTGGTTTTGAAGAAAACCGAAATTGGTCACCTGATTGGTTTCCGGTTTTTTCAGTCCAATCATCTGGTCCTGTCCGGTTTTGAAAACCATGGCATCAGCCTTCCTAATCAGGCCCTAAGGCTGTTATCGTCATCATTCCCATATGACAAATCCATCTGATTCTATTGGATTTTTTTTTCTTTTGGTAGAAATTGGATCTAGTTTTGTAGTCTTATTTCCGTTGAATCAGAAAAAAAAAAACAATATATTGATATAAAGTTGATTTCATGAAGTGGAAAATGATTTTATGTGCATATCAATTAATAAAATGTGTTTAAGGAGTATGAAAGGTTTCATAACAAAATAAAATATCATTAGATATTGTTTTGTAGTATTTAAACAATTGTGAGATATAAAAAAAGTGAAATTATCTACAAAAAAAAAGATATAAAGAATGAAATGAATGATGATATAAATTAATGGAGGTGCGGATTCGAATCCTGTTACCATTGACTTTGAAAGAGAATTATTAGTGTGATGCTATCTTATTCTACAAAAAAAAGGAAAAAAGAATTACAGCCCCTAGGGATCCAGACATACTATTAAATACCGAAAAGAATTGTGCAATTTCTCCATGTAACCAAAATAAAAGATAAAATTATAAATCATTTGCAAGAAGACTTTCAGACCTAAATAACCTATCTAAGCCTGACCAAAACTCACATGCACCCATCCCAAGCCTACACCGGAAGGATTTTGTTGTAATTTTTTATGCTTTAATTAACATATAAATATGATTTAAGAAAGGAGAGGARAGACTCGTGTGAGCATTGAAGTGGGAGAATTCATGGCCTCCCATATACAGAATACCTAGGGATGTTAGTGGATCGGGTTAAGAGGTAAATCTGCATCCAAGCATGGTTTTCTAAACTGGATCGGACCGAATGGTCAAACTGGAAAAATGGAATCGATCCCCAAAATTAAAATTTTGTCAAAAAATCATTAATTTGGTCAATAAAAACCACTGATTCGGGTGTTTAAACCATTCGAACCATCCAAACTGTTTAACAATATTGACCATTTTTTATTTTTTATACTTGGAAACGGACCCTTGACTGGTTCATAGACCAATTCGGTTTTAAAAACCTTGCATCCAAATTCAAAAGTATTGATACATGTTGGTACGGTGAAAGGGATGTATTAGTAATCTGTACCCTATACATACAATTAGTTTGGTGTCGAAATTTTGAACCTTACCTGCATCAATCTGACTTGGGACCAGTCTTAAATCGGGTTTGGGTTGAGATAGATCTATACCGGATCTGACCCGTTGAGATAGTAGCAGTGCAGCATTTATAGGTTTGCCTTGGTTTTGGTTGAGTGTAGGTGCACTGTTGTGGGACAGGTTGGGTTGAATTTGGTGTTCCATTTCCTTTAATCAGGTGTAGGTGGGGCTCGGTTTGGAGTGAATTCCGGCCTGGTATGGGATTGATCCAAATCCATACTACATTGGCATATATTCCGGCTGATTTGGCTGTAGTGAAAATAAATTTGCACTGATACAAAATTATGGTAGTACAAATGATTTGGTTGCAAATTCTGATTTATTTTTGTTTCAAATTTTATCTTATTTTGTTTGATTGCAGTACAAATGAAGTAAAATAAAACGTGAAACAAAATAAAATAAAATCCAAAACAAAATTAAACCAGAATTTGTGTTCTTTTTATTTGCACTCCCATACATTTGTACTAATACAAATAAGATTGCACTACAACCGAACGCAGCCTAAAGTCATCCTACACATACAAATGATCACGGTTCTTAATAGATGGTTTTGATATTTGACTGGCTGGGTTAATTGTTTAGATGGCTTGAGGGCAGCAAAAAGTTTGAATCTCCACAATATATAACTACTGAATGCATTCCCTGTTGAAGGCCCTTCTCTTTCCCAGTTAGCTTTAACTGCCTCCTCCCATTACCTGGAAAGACGATCTATAGTCTATTGTCTAATAGGAGAAAAGTGAAGAAAAGTAAACCAGAATTTACACTCAATCCATTTACACCAGTACAAATGAAATTTGCACTGCAATCAAATGAAGTCCAAATTTTTTTGCTTGTGTGGGAGAAAGTCATATAGAGGAGCTGGGATTTGCTGCTCACACCACCGTGTTCACTTATTATGTTATCGATCATGAATGAACACACCAATGTACTAGCATATCCCAAGTGTACGGACATATTCATTCATGATTGGTTACATAATAAGTGATACAAAGTGTGGTACGAGTAGAGTGGCTCAAGAAGGTGTTTATAATTTCCCATGGTTATGCAATGTCTATAAAACCCCTCCCCTCTCCCCCTCATATGTTAAATTTACTGGGAGATGTTATTGATGYTGGATTGGAAGCCCTGATTGCACGGTTTCTTCTAAGGCCATGCTTCATAAATGTTCACCGGATAGGATTAGCCAAAGGGGATATCTGTTTCAATGGGATTTTAGAACAATGATTCATGCTCCACACTAGTCATAAAATATATGGGCCCTACAACGGTTCAACCTTTTACTATGGGATCAAACATTTTATGATTGGTGTGAGGCATTATCATTGGTTCCACATGCATCTTTCTACACAGCCATTGAGTTCAGCTTATCCAAATAAAATGTTGCACTGTATTGTCAGAAAATCCTATTTATCTCCCCGGGTTTTGGGTTCCATTGTTCGAGACAGTGTTAATTTGTTTTTTAAGTTCAATTATAATATCGAAAAGACATGATACCAAAAAAACTTATTACCAATCAAATGGGTTTTCATCCAAATTCATGGGTTTTATTGATCAAATCCTTCACGGCATCATGTATTTCAAGCATTATATATTTTCCTTTTTTTAGTTGTATGTTAGTATTAGTCTTTTTGGTGGTTTGTTATGCTAATCTTTAATGAAATAGTATAATGGCCTGTGCAATGCACGAGATATTTGAATCAATGAATGATAACACAACCAAATATAGATCTTAGCCAAGTTGGGTGTGGCCACTTGTTTGATTATTCACTACTTGTGTTAGTGCCAATATGTTTAATTATCTCAAAATGAAATCATACTTCAATTACTTCATCCTAATTGAGTGTGAGTGGTAATGTTAAGAAAACAAAATTAACTTAAAACATGACCAATGATTCCATTTGACATATAATGTAATATGTGTGTATATAAGTACGCAAAAAGCTCCATATTGCAACATTAGAATCATAGTTTTCAAGGCGCCAAGGCGAGGCTAGGAGACCATAGGGCGCCCAGGTGGGTGCTTAGGCGTTGGAATTTTAAAATGTTAGTTTTCTTGAGTTTTTATTTTATCTGTGATTTTTTAAGCTATTTTATTGGTTTTGTATGATAACTAGCAAGCATGTAAACTAATTATTAACACTATAAATCATTCAAATGAGTATAAATTTCATATAAAAAGCTAAAAAGATAAAATATTACCAATTTAGCAATTAGCATGTATTCATGACTTCATGTTCAACATTAAATATATTATTTTTAATAAAAAGGAGTCTAAACCAACCATAATGCTTTGTGCCAGTCATAAATTAAAATCCAAGGACTGATCCTAGTGGGAACAGTGTGGCATAGATTTAATTCAATTAAAGAGCCTAGTAGCAAGGGGTTTGCTCTCAACTTTCCAGGATGTTGAAATCAAACCTAGAAGATGTCAAAAGCAAACCAACACAAGGGTTTTGCTCTTATCTTGCAAGTGCAAGATGTTGAAAGCAAACAACTTAGATCTTTATGTAGAACAAGCACTAAGTTTTTGTATTTTTAGGGTGTCTTTCGTTGATGGTTAAGAGAATTAGGTGTGTGAGAACTTATAAATTACAAAACACCAGAAAAATGCTTAGAAATTACAAATACAAACTTGATTTGGACAAATGTAAGCTTGTTAAAGACACATGATTAAACACTGAATTAAACCCAAAGATGAAAAGTAGGGGTGGGCATTATTCGGTTAAAACCAAGAAACCAAACTGAAAATTTTGTTTTCGATTTTTTTTTTTAGTTTTTGGTTATTTTGATTTGTTTTTTCGGTTTTGTAAAATTTTGGTTTCAGTTTCGATTTTCAAGTTTAGAAATTTGGTTAACAGAAAAACTGAATTAACCAAACTTTATTATCTATATATATATATATATATATGTTAACATATAATACATATATAATATATATAAAATATATTATATTGTATTATATTATGTATTAAAATATGTAATTTATTATATACATTGTATAATGTATATTTTTTAATATATAATATATATTAAAATATATATAGTATTGAAATTCGGTTTTAACCGAAGACTGAACCATAACCAAAATATATATATATATATTAAAATTAGGAAATTTTTACGAATGGGACGATTACCATTTCCATTTTTATTAATGATCAATAGAAATAAAAATAAAAATAGTATAAAAGTTGTGGTTTAAAGGAAAAAAAAGGCACATGTTACAATTAAGAAGAATAATGGAGATGTCGGATGTGCTGATAGCACAGCAACGAACATGATATATATATATATATATATATATATATATATATATATATATATTGCATTATTTGTGGCCTTGTTGGTCGAAAATCAACGTCGATCCAATCAAACATGCTATGAGCAAGCTCAATAACACCAGGAATCAGGATCCAATAAACTCAACAATCATACTTCTATCAGTGTCCGAATCCTCTACAGGAACCGGACGATACTTGGCCCCACATGGTCCACCGCTTTATTCTAACTGTCTGGATCCCGCGCGTACCAGTGGAACACTAGATTACACTATGACACACACTGTACTGTCTAGTAGAACTCAATTCAACTAAGCGCTGGGAGTCCGGATCTAAGGAACATCATTGTAAGCACGTTCAATGAGCATTTAACGTGTGTAATATCTGTTCCAACCAGATCCGAACTGCCTAGATACTTGGTTTATGCTACGAGCGCTTCGCTCTTTGAGTTTGAGCGAAGTTCTCCAAACTTTTCTGCCACCACCTTCATCTCTGAGCAAAGTTTTCCAACCTTTCCTGCTGCCACCACCTCTACCTCTTTCTCCTCTCTCTTTGAGTTTGAGCAAAGTTCTCCAAGCTTTCCTGCCACCACCTCCATCTCTTTCTCCTTTCTCTTTGAGTTTGAGCAAAGTTCTCCAAGCTTTCCTGCCACCACCTTTATCTCTTCCTCCTCTGATCTCTTTGAGTTTGAGCAAAGTTCTCCGAGCTTTTCCGCCACCATATCCATCTCTTCCTCTCTGATCTTCTCACTTAATTCTCTTGCTTTTCTTCTAACTTCTTCCCCTTGTTTCTCCACCACCACCTCTTTGATGGCCTTCGCCGCCTCTCCCCTAAGAAAACTGCCATCCTTCTCCCTCTTAACCTCCACCCCTACGCCAAGCTCTACCACCACCCTTGAATTGGTTGGCTGATCAAGGTGCATCGGCATTGCTACCAGTGGAACACCAAACTTCATTCCCTCCATTACCGAACCAGAACCACTGTGGCTCACAAACCCACCAATGCTGGAATGGTCTAGTATCTGTGCCTGTGGAGCCCAGCCTTCCACCACAATTCCCTTCTCTCCCACCTTCCCCAGGAAGCCTTCCGGCAGGGCTTCGTCAAGGCTCATTTTCTCTCCCTCAGGAAATCTTACAACCCATATGAAGCTCACCCCACTAAGCTCCAGCCCATAAGCCATTTCTTCTAGCTCGGCTTTGGACAGAAAGAACTCACTCCCAAACGAAACAAAGACAACTGAACAGGGGTCCTTCTTGTTAAGCCATTCCATGGACTCCCATTGCTGGTTGTCTTCATTCTGAGTAGTATCCAGGACAAGCGGTCCTACAGGTAAGATCTCCTTCCCCGTAATGACGGAATAGTAATCGATATATTTTTCTTCAATCTCTCTAAACGTCTTGAACATAATGAAGCGTGAAGATTGGTCGATGGACTGTATGAGCCGCACCTTGTCTGTCAACCCGTTGGCAGAGGATTCGAGCAACTGGGTAATCTTTCGATCTTCGTGCTTTTCAAGATAGATTGCAGGAAACGGGAATTTGACGCCAGGGTTCTTGCAGATGTGATAGAAGAAAGCGGACGTAGCACCACCAGTGATCAAGAACTGGACAGCCGGAATGTCTAGGGAGGAAGCCAAAGTGGGTGCCCATGGTTGGATAAAATCATAGATTAACAAATCAGGTTTCAGAGTCCTGAGGAGGTTCAAGAAGGAAGGTTTGGCCATGTCGAAAGCTTGCTTGAGGGTAGGCATGAGATGGGGAGGGAGGCCTTTGGTGGTGTGGTAGTGAGGAGGGAGGCCTGGGAGAGTGGGAAGGTGGATCTCTACCAGCTGAATTGAAGGGAAGATCTTCTCGCTGAGTTGGTCTCTGATGGAACAGAGGTTTACTGGGGTGGAACAGAAGTAAACGTGGAAGTTCCTCTTCGAAAGTCTCTTACCCACCTCCAAGAAGGGAGATATATGACCATGAGCTAACCATGGAAGCATGAGAACAGTGAAGCAGTGTGGCTTGGTATCCATGAGATCACTCACTCACTCACTCATTCGAGGCTCTTTGCTCTGTTAGTTGATCAAGTGTTTGTGTTTCTGTCTTTCTCTGTCGTCTTTCACCTGTTAATAAAGGGCAGCATGTTTGGATCTCCCACGGGAGTCACGAATTCATCGCTACCACGAGAGTCACGACGAAATTAATGCATAATATATAAATATTAAATATAGCGGATGCCCAATAGTCTCACACATGTTGTTGCTAATGATTTAGTAATTTTTGGCAAGCCACCGTACATGAGCTTGAAAATGTAAAGAAGGCATTTCAGATTTTTTGTTGTAGTTCAAGGTAAGAACGTGCAAGATGAAATGCATCTTACAAAGACACAAATATTTGGGAGCCCCCCTATTTATAAGCAGAAACAAGAATGAATTTTTTTCTTCGGTGGTAAAAAGGGTTTGTAACAGACTTAATGGTTGTCGTGCACATACTCTCTCATTTACAAGCCGGATTGCACTTGTGAATCATGTGGTAATAACTATTCCTACTTACTTGATGTCAGTACTTTCACTCTCCATAATAACATGTGATGACATAGAGAAGGTTATGCGTCATTTTATTTGGGGTGCTTCTGATTCGAACAATTTCTATCCGACAGTTTCATGGCAAAAGATATGCTTACCGAAAGTTGTAGGTGGCTTAGGTGTGAGACGAATGAAATACTTCAATGATGCTTTGTTAGCTAAGGTTGGGTGGAGAATCTTAACTGAACAGGGTTCCATATGGGTTTCAATTTTGAAGTCAAAGCATTTTTCATTTGAAGATGATGTAACGCAATCCGGCTGCTCCCTGCAGGAGATGATTTGGCTACCAGCAACGACGGGAACTAAGGAACCTCCAAGAGATGAATCATAGAACCCGGGGTGACTTACTCGGCGAGGACACTCCGATGGTTAAGTTAGCACTTAGTAGCGAGCTTGAAGATGATAATAGATTGTGAGAGAGCTAGAGAGCAGAGATTACGCCTCGCTTCGCCCCTAGGGGGTGAGGTCTTTATATACTGGAGTCCTCGTGGGTTTGGTGGAGTAGTTCCTGGATCCCCGCTGTGATGGGATCCGTTTCCGTGTTAGGTGGGGATAATGCCACCAACCGGTAAGGTTGCCCATTTCCGCCTGAATCGGAGAGTAGGTGAGTTAATATAGCCGTTTCAAGGCACAATCCCGTAAGACGCGGGGTACGGTGGTGAGCGCCTTAGAATTACCACGCGACGGTTGGTGAGCATCTCCTGAGCTCGTGTTCTTTAGACCTGATATGAATGCTGAAGTGCCTTGGGACCGAGGTGGTCCTGATGTGACCTTGCACCGAGGTAGACTTGTCCCGAGGTAGACTTGTCCCGAGGTGGACTTGTCCCGAGATCGATCCGTTGTGGACTTGGCATATCAGGCTGAGCTGTTGTCCTACTAGTTAGGTCGCGTCCACGTGTCCCCCTATTACTAGGTCGGGCCAAATCACCCTGCATCAGAAGAGTTTTTGGATTGTGATCCTAAATGGCATGACTGTTGGGTGTGGAAAGGTATTTGTCGCTCAAGACATGTACTTCGTGCGGGTTGTGTGTGTCGGGTGGGTAATGGTCACTTTATAAGTATATGGGGTAATTCATGGGTCCCCTCTCAACCAAATTTCAAATTACAGACCCCACCTACCAGTGTTCCGGATGGCATTTGTAGAGTTTGTGATCTTCTAGGCTCTAACCGACAGAGGAGATTGGATCTTCTTCACAGATTTTTTGATCCGATTTCAATTCGAAACATCCTTAAGGTCCCTATCTCTATTAGATCAAGTGGTGATGATGGTTGGTTGTGGTTGTTAGAGCATAAGGGTATTTTTTCTGTTAAATTTGTCTACAAACATCTTTGCTCCATTTCAACTGATGCTCAAGACAATGCGTTTTGGAGGAAGTTTTGGAAATTGAAGATTTACCCAAGGATTCTACTATTCTTATGGAAAATATTACATGGAGGACTGCGCACACGAGACAAACTTTTTGGTGTTGGGCCTGAAGCGTTATGCCCTTTCGGATGTAACCACATTGAATCACAGAGCATTTATTTTGGGATTGTTCATTTTCAAGAGCTATTTGGTTTTGGTCTTCTTTATCTTGGAGACCAGATCAACTTTCAAATATAACTATTGCTGAATGGATTCGGAATTTTGTGAATGGTTCACAGGGTCCTGATGAGGAGTGGATGTCTGATCTAATTCTTACGACTACTGTGTTGTGGAAGATCTGGGACGCTCGTAACAAATGCATTTTTCAAGGGTATTCGGCTTAGCCAATGGATGTACTTCAGAGTGTGTATCGTTTCTATGGGGAATGGAGTTTTATACAATAATCAACATATGTGGATGTGGAAGTTCAACACATTTGTAGAAGAAGGGATCCAAAATGTGTCCCTACTGACATGGATGTTATTATTTATACTGATCCTACAGTCATGGATGAATTTAGTGATGCTACATGGGTGATTACTGGGGTGAATAATAGGTTCATCAGGGCAGGAGTTACTCCATCTCCTCTTAGTGATGTTGAAGGTGTGGAAGCATGTGCTATTCTTTCTGCTTTATTGCATTGCTCTGCATTTCATCATCAAAAAATCTATGTGGTAAATGAAAATCTCAATGTGATCAYTGTCTTACAAGGAAAATTGCTCTCTTCGTCATGGGCTGCTCAACCAATTATATCTGACATTAAGAACATTGTTACTTGTTTTGATGATTTGTGTTTTGTTCATGTGCATAGATCTTTAAATTTGATCTCTCATACTTTAGCTACAAGGTTTAGGGGAATTCAACATGAATTTGTTTGGGTTTCTCCTCCTGATGTACTTGTTGACTTTTTTAGCAATTGAAAGTTTTGTTGCAGCAAAAAAAAAAAAAGTCTTCAAGTGGGTCTGCGAAAAAAAAATGCTCCTTTTCTAAAGGAGGAATGGTCTTCTATATTCACGGTGGATGTTTGGGATCTATTGACCTGGCTACAGCCTTTGCACACATATTACAAATTGGGATTTGCTGGCGCCTTATAACGACTTCATAGCACATCTCATCGTGCATTGGGAACGTCTCCCATAAATAATAATACATAAGTACGGGAGATGTTCCCAATACATGGTGGAATGTATCTGTAAGGTCAGTGTGAGGTGCCCTGTGTGAGGAGCAGATCCAGTCTCACACATTATTACAGCCGCATGGGGTCTCCATGAATAAGACCAACCAAAGTTAATTTGCCTGTAATTGTGATTTTTCCTTTTTTTTTTATGTGATCTAGGACAGATTCATATAAATTTTTTACATATATAGGCAGGGGCAGAGTCAGGAAATTTTCATGAGGGGCCAAAATCTAAAGTGGATGAAAGAGGGGGATAAATGTAAATGGGCCCATAAGAGGGGCCAACCATTAAGTTGGGGAGTGGGGGAGGGAGGAATTTACATGAAAAATTGTATTAATAGTGGGAGATTTCTGGACCACGGGGACCATGGCTCCCCTGGATCCCCCTGGCTCCGCCCTGCATATAGGGATGAGAGTTGGTCACTTGGTTGGAAACTTGGAGTCTTGAGTACCGGATCTAGTAGCTAGGCACATCATTATAGACAACTTTTTGCCATGAATATCAATAAAAGACAATATTTTTATAAAATAATCAAAATATGATAATTTTTTTTTGAAAAATATCAAGAAAGGGTAGTGACACTGTTCATCATCTTCCTCTGCTTTGTATTATAAAGCCACAATTGCGAACTGTTCCTCATCTTCCTAATTATTTCAAGTTCCAATTGTGTGAGATATACTGATTCGTCATTCATATTCTCTCTCTCTCTCTCTCTGTGGTTGTTTTTAATAGGTGGTTGGACAGTACACCCTGCCAGGTCCATCGATGACGACTGCGGCAGGGGGGTTCCGGTGACGGACCTCATGCAATTACAATTGGACAATTGGGGAAGCACTTGAAGCGACTGCAGTGGTAGCCGGTGACAAGCCARTTGATCAAAGTGATGCAACTAGCAGTGGAGGTGAGAGCTATACCGGGAGGTATTGGTGCAGAAGCTCAATCTGCAGCGAATGTCAATGAATGGGCCATGCGTGACGAAGACAAAGTTACTCTGGGTGATGTTGTCACAGTATAATTCAGTCCCTAGCTAGAGGCATTATATATACGTCTCTGTGTCGTTTCTCTATTCACTGTTTCCATGGTTTGATGAGTGATGAGAGACTGGCGTCGGCATTTCCTTTGTCAATTGGCTAGGATGCGACGGCGAAGCTAGTGCGTGATAAACCGGCAATGCATCGGGACGCTGAAAGGGTGATTGGTGCGGAGCTCCGGATTAATTCTAACATGGGCACTCATCCTGGGGGCGTGGCAGAGGCCGCCAGACTCAACCAAAACATATAAAGAGAAATGCTTGTCTAAGCTAAGCAAGAGATACAAATACTACTACTCCCTCGCTCTCTCTATGTTTGATTCTCGTATGAAGAAGTCTACAGTAATTTACATTGTCTATAACGAGCTTGTGTGTACGTATAGTATGCTCTACTAAACAAATAATCTATTTTAATTATGAAACAAAACCCGGTGTTTTTTAATTTGTTATAGTCTTTTGCTCTCTGAACCTTTTGAGGCCCCGCTTCATGCATACTTGAGCCCTGACATGGGCGGATAAGACGAGGAATCCTCCATTTTACTCACTATGGACGGATAAGAGGAGGAAGAGGAATGAAAGGAATAATGGATTCGCTCATGTTAGTGGACACTGTTCCCCTTCCTTCTATTATCCGCCCATATCAGTTGAACAATGCGCAACTGTGGCTTTATAAAATAGATTCATGGAGGCTTCGAATCCAGTGTATTCAGATGAATACAGAGGCAGAGGAAGACAATGAATAGTATTACTGTCCTTTCTTGATATTTTCATAAAAAATATTATCCTATTTTGGTTATTTTATAAAAATATTATTTTTTATTGATATTCAAGGCAA